GCTGGGGATGGTGGCTAGCGATGGAGGATGGGGGCTAAGGATGGGGGATGGGGCTAGGGATTGGGGCTGATGCTGGGATCTAAGACTGGGGCCTGGGCTGAGCTGGAGGAAAGGGTTGGCAGGGCATAGCGGCCACCTCCCCTCCCCCAGCAAAGAACCAGGGGCATAGAGAGCCAGGCAGGTGCTTCCTGAGGGCCTAGGGCAGCCCTACCCCTTGTTCCCTGAAAGGGAGACAAGAGGCAGGCCCCAGAGCAGGGGCCTCAGCAGGAAGAGCCTCCAGAGGGGGCTGGGAGTTTGAGGGAGGAGCCCAGCCATGGCCTGTGAGCCACCCCTTACCACGAGCCCTGGAGGGCAGGCTGGGACACCAAGGCTCTCCCAGGGGCCAGGGCCCCAGCCCAGGAGGACAGGGCAGGCCGTACCCTTTCCCTTCACCCACCCACAGGGCTCAGGAGGGTAGCAGCCATGAGGCCATAACCCACACCTCAACCTGCTCTCCCCCAACCCTGACTGTGCCCCTCACTGTACCTGTGACCCCACCCCTAGGGGCATCTCCCATCTCTCCAAGACCCAGGGACAGGAACCTGGGACCCCACTCTGTCTCAAGTCCTTGGAGTCCTGCCCAGAGACCCTGTTCTCCCTGCCCCCATGGGAGCCCCTGTGGTCCTGCTCACCATTCCCATGGGCTCCCTAACCCTTTCTCAGCACTCAGGCTTCCCACCCCTCACACCCCCAGCCCAACCCAAATCTGTCCACACTGGACCAAGGGGAACCTTCTAGAGCGAGACTTTAAGCAAACCCCCCACATGTCCAGCCTCTTCACTGGGCACTTAGGTCACCTTTAAATGCAGCCACAGCAAACCACCTGAGTTCTCCAGGCACACAACCCAGCCTCTGGATCTTCACTCAGCTGTTCCTCTGCCTAGAGTTACACACATGTCCGCTCACATACCCATGTACACATGCACACACAGGTGCACACATGGACGCTCACATACTCGTGTACATATGCACACACAGGTGCACACATGGACGCTCACATACTCGTGTACATATGCACACACAGGTGCACACATGTCCGCTCACATACCCATGTACACATGCACACACAGGTGCACACATGGACGCTCACAGTCTCTTGTGTACAGGTGCACACGTACATATGGACACATNACACAGGTGCACACATGGACGCTCACATACTCGTGTACATATGCACACACAGGTGCACACATGTCCGCTCACATACCCATANCATGGACGCTCACATACTCATGTACACATGCACACACAGGTGCACACATGGACGCTCACAGTCTCTTGTGTACAGGTGCACACGTACATATGGACACGTGTGTGCACAGTTACACACACACACACACGTGGACCTCTCAACATGCTGGGCACTCACCCTCCCTCAGCCGGTGTCCAGGGCACCATCATGACCTCCCAGTCCTCGGGGTTGTGAGGCTGCTTTCATGCCCCGTCTCCCCCCAGCAGAGGCCTGCACCTAAGCCCACCTGTCAAGCTGGCACCCGGCCCCAAGGGGCCTGTGTGCATCTACCTCCCCACACCTGGTGCCCCTCTGAGCCCTGGTACCCAGTCCCAGGCCTGACAGGCGGTGAAGGAGTCTTCCCTCCCCCTCCCTGTGGCCCCCAGAGTGGGGGGAGAGCAGACCGTCAGGTGTGGGAGAGGGGACCCTCTCCCTGCACTGCCCTCCTGAGACCCCTCTCCAAGGACCAGCAGCCCCAGGGGACTGGGAGGGAACCCACCCTTGTGGGGACACGGAGGTTCAGCAGTCACCCCCAGGAGCCCGCGCTTGTGGAGGACAGTGAACAGGTAGAATTAACAAGATGGGACCAGAGAGAGAAAGCAGCCTCTCAGGCTTAGACCCTGACAGACCCCAAGGGGCTGCCCTACAGATCATCCTTGGACTGGGGGTTCCACCAGCCTCTCCCTAGCACAAGGCCTTTTTCCAGCTGAGAACAACCCAAATGTGGGGGGGG